GGTGGCGCGTGCCTGTAATCCCAGCTGCTCAGGAGGCTGAGGCAGGAGAATTGCCTGAACCCAGGAGGCGGAGGTTGCGGTGAGCCGAGATTGCGCCATTGCACTCCAGCCTGGGTAACAAGAGCGAAACTCCGTCTCAAAAAAAAAAAAAAAAAAAAAAGGTAAAAATGTTGAGGATCAAGAAAATCAGAATTAAATGTGATTCTTGGGGAGATATCTCAAACAAAGTTAGAAAGGATTACTGGGGGCCTAAAGTTTTTCAGGGTCTTTAGAAATTACTGAACTTGGTTGGGCACAGTGGCTCATGCCTGTAATCCCAGCATTTTTGGAGGCCAAGGTAGGCAGATCACTTGAGGCCAGGAGTTTGACCAACCTGGCCAACATGGCAAAACCCTGTCTCTACTAAAAATACAAAAATTAGGTGGTGTGGTGGTGCACACCTGTAGTCCTAGCTACTCAGGAGGCTGAGGCAAGAGAATCACTTGAACCTGGGAGGCAGAGGTTGCAGTGAGATGAGATCACACCACTGCACTCCAGGCTGAGCAACAGAGCAAGACTCTGTCTCAAAAACAACAACAACAACAAAACTGAACTCATGACACAAATGGGATTTTGCCATTTGTAAATATGTATTTTAAGTGTTTTCAGCTTTTTTTTTTTTTCATTTGTTTCCATTTTCTTTTAAAAGATATGCAGATACGACTTTTTCCTCTTTAAGTGTCTTATTTTGGGAGTACCCAGATTTTAGGGAAGAGCCTCACTATATGAGCACATGAGTTGCACATTTCTGGTTCCCTGCCCTGAGTTGGATTGCCAGTCATGTCTTCAGAAGAACCATCCTGCCTGTTGGATGCTGCAATTTTACCTTCTTGTTCTTGTCTGCTCATTCCCTACCATACTAAGCCTCTGGAGTGTGGGAATGTGCACCATTCCTAACTATATTAACTCACTACCACCCATCTGGTGTAGGTGCTCAGTACAAGTGAATCCTGAAAAAGCCTCAGGCTCTTGGATGGAGGAAAATTGGCTGCATTTGAAAGCCATACTTCAATTTCTATTGGTCATTACTAGTATAAACTTTATTGATTTAAACAAATTTTATCTGGATCCAGTTATATTGATAAATTATTTTTAGGTTTAATAGTTTGTTAGAGTCATTTTCTAGCTTTTTAAGGTTATAATAAATAGTGATTTGTCTTTTGATGTCACATGTTGTGCATTAGCAAGAACTTCGAAAAATGGGGAAGAGTAGATGTCTTTCGCTTAACTCTTGGGAGAATGTTTTTAGTATTTCAAAATTTCATATGGTGCATTGTTGGATTTTGATGTTCTGCTGTATTTAGGAAGTTTCCTTCTAATCTTATTCCTACAAGAAGCTGTGTAGTTTAGTGGTTAAGAGCACAGATTTTGTTCCCAGTGCCCTAGGTTCAAATCCAGAGTCCACCACTTTGTTAGGTGTGTGAGCCTGGGCAAATCACTTAGTTTCCTTGTATCTTGGTTCCTCCATCTATAAAATAGAGCTACCTCATAGGGTTGTGAGGTCTACATTATTTACTATGTGTAAGGTAACAATGCTGGGCATAGTGCATGGTTTCCCAATTATTATTATACTTAAGAGTTTTGGGGTTTTTTTTGTTGTTGTTTTGTTTTGTTTTTGTTTTAGAGACAAAGTCTTCCTCTGTTGCTCAGGCTGGAGTGTAGTGATGCGACCATAGCTCACCTCAGCCTTGAATTCCTGGGCTCAAGGGATCCTCCTGCCTCAACCTACCCTATAGTTAGAAATACAGGCATGCACCACTGCACCTAAGTTTTTGTTTTTATTTTTATTTTTTGTACAGATGGGGGTCTTGCTCTTTTGCTCAGGCTGGTCTTGTGGTCCTGGCCTCAAGTAATCATCCTGCCTCAGCTTCCCTAAGTACTGGGAATACAGGTGTGAGCCACAGTGCCTGGCCTATACAAAGTTTTTATTAGGATTAGTTGCTGTTATCTATCTAGTTTTAAAAATACATTGTTGTAATTTTATAAATTATGTTCTTTTTTTCTTTTTGTAATTCATTTTCTTGACAAGTTTGCAAATATTTGCAATTTCCTTGTCCTTTTCAAGTAAAATCAGTTTGTTCATAGTGAGTTTTGTTTGTTTTTTGTTTTTTGGGGTTTTTTTTTGAGACAGAGTTTCACTCTGTCACCCAGGCTGGAGTACACGTGGCGCAATCTCGGCTCACTGTAACCTCCGCCTCCCAGGTTCAAGCAATTCTCCTCCCTCAGCCTCCTTAGTAGCTGGTATTACAGTGCACACCACCATACCTGGCTAATTTTTGTATTCTTAGTAGAGATGGGCTTCACCATGTTGGTCAGGCTGGTCTTGAACTGACCTCGTGATCCACCTGCCTCGGCCTCCCAAAGTGCTGGGATTACAGGCATGAGCCACCGTGCCTGGCCTTATAGTGAGTTTTTATTAAGTACAGAAGTAGATTCAATTTGGTAATGCTTTGCTAGCTTTGTAAAATAATTTTGAAAAAGTTTTGTTTCTCTTTTATTACTATGAAGAGTTCGTATAACATGGGAATTGTTCCTTAAAGGCTTGCTTACAGTAACTGGGCCTGATTCTTTGGGTGAGGGGATTGGGAGGGATATATGTTTCGCAACTGTTTTAGTCAGTTTGAGCTGTTATAACAAAATACCATAGAGGATGGCTTAAACAACAGACATTTATTCCTGACAGTTCTGTAGGCTTTAAAGTTCAACATCAAGATGCCAGAATGGTTGAATACTGGTGAAGGCTCTCTTCCTGGTTTGCAGATGGCCACCTTTTTCCTGTGTCCTCAAATTTCAGGGAGCAAGAGCACTGGTGCTTCTTTGACATCTTTTAAGGGCATTAGTGAGAATGAGGACCCCATTCTCATGACCTACTCCAATCCTAGTTATTTTCCAAAGGCCCTCACTCCCAAATATCATAACATTTGGGATTAGGGCTTCAACATAAATATTCATTCCATAATATTCCACTCCTAGCCACTCTCTTCATGTTCTTATATGCAAAGTAAATTCATTCCATCCTAACAGCCTCCAAAGTTTTAACTCATTCTAGTGTCAACTAACATTTAAAATCCAAAATCTCATCTAAATATCTAAATCAGATATGGGTGAGACCCAAGGTATAATTTATCCTGAGGCAAAATTCGTCTCTAGCGATGAACTTGTGAAACCAGACAAGTTATGTGCTTCCAAAATACAATGATGGGATAGGCATAGATTAGGTATTAAAATTCCAAAAGTGAGAAATTGAAAGGAAGAAAGGGATGATGAGGCTGGGTGTGATGGCTCATGCCTTTAATCCCAGCACTTTGGGAGGCTGATGTGAGAGGATTGCTTGAGTCCAGGAGTTTGAGACCAGCCTGGGCAACAAAGGGAGATCTCATTTCTATAAAAATAATTAGCCAGGCATGGTGGCTTGATCATGGGAGTTTGAGGCTACAGTGAGTGTGATCATATTGCACTCCAACCTGGGGGAGGTTAATGATGGTCCCATGCAAGTCTAAAATTTATCAAGACAAATTTCATGAGATCTTAGGCTCATGAATAATCCTCTTTGGTCCTATACCATCCTCTCCAGGACAACCTGGGTGGTGGTCCTGACTACAGATCTGCCAGGAAGGGTTCACTCCCCCATGGCTTTTGTTGGAGACCATCTGGCCTGTGGAAACTGAGGCAGTATCCCTGATGATCTCTAAATAGCCAAGAGAAGAGTCATTCTTTTCTTGTTTGGAATGGTGGACATTCACAGCCATCCTCATTCCTGTCTTTAAGACTTTAGATACAATAATATCGAAGCTAAGGGCTTCAACATACAAATTTTGGGGATACAGTTCAGTCCATAGCAATACTTCTATTCTCCTGACCTGCAACATGTCCAGTTACTTCTAGAAGTATTTGTCATCTACTATATTAACATGCTCATTGTCAGCCTATGAAACAAGCTGACCACTCCATACATAAGGTCATAGGTAATATGACACATGCAGGCTGAGTTGTCAGCCCTGATAAGATCTAGGGACTTGCCCAAAAGTGCAGTCCCTGGAGCTACCTGGTCCAGTAACTAGGGGAGTATTCCTGATAAAGTCAAGAATTGTTGGCAGCCCCCACCTACAAGAAAAGCTCAATAGCTAGTAGGTCTGTTTGGCTATTGGAGACAACATGTATCATATTTTGAGTATTAGTTGGCTTCCTTTAGTTAAAATTACCCACAACACAGCCACCTCTGAATGGTGCCCTCAACAACAGCAGACTCTAGGGGCCTATCATGCATTAACATGGGCTTGCCATTAATGTAGGCCCATGGAACTGCGGGTCTCACTGACTCCTATCCATACAGATTGGAGACTGTGGCAACAAGAGGCTGCTATCAGGGTGCACCAGGCCCTTGGGTTTTGGTCGTATAAATTGCCCAAGATTTTTGCCATATATATTCCCTTTGAATGGCAGCTGCTAGCCTGCTATTGGGTTCTAATGGAAACAGAACGCTTGACCACTAAAGCACTGTATGTGACCTTAAGACCTGAGCTGCCCATCTCATGCAGGTATTGTTAAAGAAAAATAAAAATGGAAACTACAGTTTAGAAATACCCCAAGGCTGACCACCTGCAACTGTGTAACTAAAACAAATCATTCTGATTTCCCTGAAATGCTGTTCTCTAATCATAAATGAAATGCGACATGTAAGCTTTACATCCTTGTCAGCATGATTCACTGAAATTAAACCAATCATCTATAGAACAATAAGCTTAAACAGGTCAACTTTCCCTAAAAAGAATGTGTAAGCCAATTATAAAAAGGTCAAAATATTCCCCCCTTTATGCATTATAAACTGTGTTGTAAATGCTTGTAAGATGAGTTTCTTACCACTTGATTTGAGTCTTCTAGATTGTGGTCTGTACTTCTTGTTTGAACAATAAACTTTTAATTTTTTCTTAACTTTATCTGATTTTATTTTTTTTTCACAGTGCTCACTAATCCTACTAATAAAACACAACAAGTTCAGCCAAGTACCATCATTAAATGAAAATCTTACGTATAAGATGGAGCCTGATTGGGATCCCAGGGGGGTCCGCCAACTCCATGAAGTAACTGTCTTGCCAGAGCAGGCTGAACAACCCATAGGGGATGTTCCCTTAGCTGTGTGCACCCCATGGTTCAAAGATGTTTTGGCTGATGGTGAGTTGGCTTACTGAGGGATTTGTGAAACTCAAAGCTGATAAACGCTAATGGTCTGCTGTGGGCATCCATCTTGCTATGGATTGAGTGGTTTTGTTGCCTCCAAAACACTTGTTAAAACGTAATCCCCAGCTGGGCGCAGTGCTGCATGCTTGTAGTCCCAGCTACTCAGGAAGCTGAGGTGGGAGAATTGCAAAGACCATGTGGCAGCAAGCGAGTATTAGCAGGTTTTAGGCCTTTTAAGGCTTGTGCAAGGATGGGATATTGATGCTGGGCAGGATAGGGGTGGTTAGGTTTTAAAGGGATGATGAGGGGCAAGTAGCCTGTAGCAAGGGATGGGGAGGTGGTATTTCATACCTTAGGGTTAAGGTGGGACGACGTAAGGGGAGCTGTTGAGGGAGGTATGGGTTCAGGAAGGAGGGCGGCAATGAAGTGTGGCATAGTCCAGGAATAGTTACAGAGGCACAATCTTGTTAAGATATTCATGGCCTAAGGGGGAACTGGTCAGGTGAGGATGATTAGGAAAGGATGTGGAAAGGAGTGCTGGCCTAATTGATACCAGACTTGGGGAGTTTTGACAGGCCTGGAAGCCTTGTCATTAATTCCTACAACTGTTATGGAGGCCAAGGAGGCAGGTCCTTGAAGGCAGCGTGGAGTGGGTGGCCTCCGTATTAAGAAGGGGATGGACCTACGTTCCACCATAAGAGTTACCTGAAACTTGGTGTCCGTGATGATCTAAGGGGCCTCTGAGATGTTTGGGCAGCATCAGTCGTCAGCCACCAGGCTGAGGAAATCTGGGAAGGAGTCAGCCAGGCAGCCTTGGGTTTGAGCTCCAGGAGCTCTGGGAATGGTGATGTGAGTCAGGCAGTCCAACTTCCAGTGGGAGCCTGCACAGATGGGGCACCACTTAGGACTAATCTCGGGCTATGGGCATTCCTTGGCCTAGTGGCCATTTTTCTGACACTTGAAATAAGGTCATGGAGGGGCGGCTGGATGTTGTGATCTGGACATTCTGAAGTTCTTTTGGGCTGGTGGAGCAGCAGGGGTTTGTCTTACGGCAGAGGCAAGCATCTGTAGTTCTGAGATGTGCTGCCACTGGGCGGCCTCTTCCCTATTAATGAACACCTTGAAGGCAAGGTTAATTAGGCCCTGTTGTGGGGTTTGAGGGCCAGATTCTAACTTTTGGAGCTTTATTCTTATGTCAGGGGCTGATTGAGTGATAAAATGCATGTTAAGAATAAGGTGTTCTTCTTGTCCTTCAGGGTTTAATGCTGTGTATCACCTGAGAGTGGAAGCTAGACGGGCCATAAACTGAGCTGGATTCTCAACCTTGTTTTGAGTGGTCTCTTTTAGTTTGTCATAGTTGATGGCTTTATATGCAGCCTGCTGAATCTCAACAAGACAAGAAATCATGTAGTCTCGCCTGACTATACCAGGGGACCCTGCCTCATAGTCCCATGGAGGGTCTTCACAGGGGACTGCTCTGGCACCTTCCTGAAGGTCAGGCTCAAGACACTGGCAATCTTCAGCATTAGACTGAGCCAGGGTCCAAACCTGCTCCCATTTTTCAGGAGTGAGAGTAGAAGTGAGGATGACATTTAAGTCACTCCAGGTGAGATTATAAGACTGGGTTAAGTATGGAAACTCTTGTATATATTTGGTGGGGTCTGATGGGAAAGAGCCTAGGCGCTGACTGATTTGGGCAAGGTCAGACACAGAGAAAGGGATGTGTACCCAGACTGTTCCTTTGGCTTCAGCCACTGCTTGAAGGGGAAATTGTTGGACATGGGTGGGGAAATTAGCCGAGGGACTAAATTGTAAGCCAGATCGGATATGAGGTAAGGTGGTGATAGGAGGGGCATAAGGAGGCAGGTTGTGGACAGAAGAGTTAGGCTCTGGGGAAGGATTAGGACCTGGTTCGGACAGGCTGGGAGGAAAAAGATCAGGACTCATGAACAAGGAGGATTCAGTGTCAGCGGCGGGGTGTGAAGGAGTGGAAGGAAGGGAGAGGAGGAGAATTTGGAATGAGTCGCATTGGGAACAGTTCAGGCAGGGAGCAGGGACTGAAGTGTAAAAAATGCTTGGACGTATGGCACCTCAGACCTTTTGCCCATTTTATGACAAAAATTGTCTAAGTCCCACAAAATAGAAAAATTGAAAATGCCATTATCTGGCCACTGGGAATGATTGTCTAATTTATATTGGGGCAAGGTTGTATTACAGAATAAAAAGACATTTAGACTTCAGATTAAATGAAAGTTGAAGGGGTTTCAGGTTTTTGAGGACACAGGCGAGGAGAGAAGAGGGAGGGATGGAGGGCGGAAGGTTGCCCATGATAAAGGAGAGGAGTTTTAGGAGAAGATAGAGCCAAGGAGGAGAGCAACCACTAGGTTCCTCAGCGGGCGTCCTCAGCTGGGGTCCTTTGGCTGTACAGCTGGTGAATGGCCAAGGCAGGCATCCCTGCTGTTGACCAGACACCAAGGGAAGACTGTCTTCCCGAGAAAAGTCCATGACTAATGTTGGGTTTTTGATACACGAGTAGGAGGGACCCTATTTCAGAATATTTGTCTCTATTTCAGAAAGTGTATTTCAGAACATCTGTCTCTATTTCAGAAAGGAAAGGTTTGAAAACAAATGGAGATTGCTTTGTTACACCAGAGCAAGTTTAAACAGAAGCACCATGCTCTGAGTTTGTTGAGAGTCCACTTTTAATGGCTGGCATCCAGTAGTCAGCTAGAGCTCAAACCTCTCAGCCCAGAACAAAGGGCAGTCAACATTATTATATCAGTTTAGGGTCAGGGGGTGGTAAGCAGATTATTACAGAAGCAGAAGGAGCAGGTTAGGGAAAGGGGGTGGGTGCCTAATAACAAAATTCTATTTAAAGTTGGGGGAGGTAAACAGATTATTACAGAAGCACAAGGAGCAGATTAGGGGAAGGGGGAAGTGCCTAACAACAAAATTCTATTTAAAGTTGTTTTTTACTCAGGATGTAGGGTAGGCAGTTACACAGTTGCAGGTACAGGATGTATGGGCCAGTGGGCCCTGTTTCTCAGAAAATTGGTTACAAAGATGCCAGGTGTCTCAAACCACAAGCTCTCGGAACAGAATGCCCTACATAGCTTACGGTGGGCAAAATGGAGTTGGCAGGATTGTTCAAAATGTATTCATCACAGCCAAGCTAGAGTATTTCAGCTTACCCAATCCGAAGACAAAGGGGTTCTACAGGCCAGTCTGAGGTACTGAAGACATGGGAAGGCTCTTCAAGGAGGGAGAGCAGGGGTAGGGGACAGATCTCTCTGAGGAGTTTCCCTATCCTGGGTTTCGGCACCAAAATGTTAAGCACACATCCAATTGAAGAGACAACCTAAATGGGCTTTGTGTGAGCAACAAGGCTGTTTATTCACTCGGGTGCAAGTGGGCTGAGTCCAAAGAGGGAATCAGCATGGAGGTGTGGGGCAGAGCAGGTTTCATAGGCTGGGGTAGCAAGTGGAAAGTTACAGCTTGGAGTTCGTCGTCGTTGACTCAGAAGATTGATCAATCAGCTGAAGCAGGATCCCATTGTTTTTCTTGTGGTTTTCCCGTTGCTTCAGACCTTCTACCACCAGGAAGCCATCTGAAGGCATACATGTCAGTTACAGAGTTCATAATAGCTTGGCAGTAGTGCTGCCATGTTTGGGGGACCTAACATGTAATATATTTCGAATGGCCATAATTACACATAATTTAACTGTTTAAATATTTGTTTTATGTTTTTCTTCTAGGAGAGAACACTATTCCAGTGGATCACAGTATCACCATCCTCAGATACATTGCTGTATTTTATTTTCATCCTAATATTTCAATCCCCCTCCCCCAAACTACAGAGGAGTTGAGTTTGAGGCCAGAAAAGGGGTGAAAATCCTACCTGCCAATTTGTTTGCCCACAGCCGATTCTCAGTTTTAACATCTTGTCTCTTTTCTCAAGTCACATTCCTGATCCCCATCCCAGCACCCCAATTTTTTCTTCCCTATTTCAAAATAAGAGGAAAAAAAATTAAGGGGGAAATTTCCGTCTTCTATTTGAAAGGCAGAATCCTGATGCACTTTAAATTCCAAAACAAAGAAGCAAATGAACATAAAATCCTTTAGTATGTGCTTTTTACATGTAGCAGGGAATCAGGGTAAAGGAATAATTATCTACTCCCAGGTTCTCAAATGTTGGAATCATCTGGGGATTTTAAAATCTGGGCTTGTTAGTGTCTCACCCACAAAGATTTGGATTAAATTTATATGAGGTATGGACTTTTTAAAAGCTCTAAGAAGGATTCTAATCTGCAGCAAAGTTAAGAACCACTGATTTGCATGCACTGTCCTTTGCTGCTCCAAGTGTGGTACAGGAACTGCAACATGGGTACACCTGCGAGTTTGTTAAAAATATTTGTTGATCCCTCCCCAGACCTCCTGAATTTGAATCTACAGTTCAGCCAGATCCCAAGTGATTTGTATTCATATGCACATGAAAATTGAAGAATCTTACCTAGGGCTTTTACCAAGTAAATGGCCCGAATTTAAAAGAGTACAGTGTTCAGGAAGTACAGCCAGCAAGAATATGCCTCCTATCAGAAAAGTGAAGAAACCTCATGGTTATAGGCTCGAGTGCCATGGCACTCAGAGAAATCAGGTGTTAGCAGAACTTTGAGATTCAAGAAGCTGTATAGGACTTAAATTCAGAGCTGCAGTCCCGGTGGCTGCTTCCCAAACTTTACAAGTGCCATTGAAGCCAATCTGGTTGATCTTTTTGATCACACTAAATGTGCTATCAGTGCTAACCACCTATCACATTGGGAAACATCCAGTAAAAGTACATCCCAAACACACAGAACCTGCTCAAACTCTTCTATGAGGGAAAATTTTGTTCTCAGACAAAACTCAAAAACTCATGCCACTATGGGTGGTTCTGAATGTTCTGAATCACTCAAGAACATTGTATCAAGTGGAAATTAATGGACACATTAGGCATTGACAAGCAGTTTCTATTTTCCTTTTTGCATGTGTTGGATATTTTCCAGTTGCCCCTCCATATTCAGTCTCTGTCCTCAACCCTGCTGTGACACTCAGGAGACTGAGTTTCCTGGATTGTCCTCTGGCTTCCAGTTGGGTTGGGCCAATGGGAAGCTCTGGCAGGAGATGAGAGTTGGGTTCAGGTTATTTATTACCCCCCGCTACCTTTGTGCTGGACTATGGCTTGGATGTAGCCCTCAACTGAAAGCCACAGTTTATCTCAGGTGGCCTGCTCCTAGGGGTGAGAATAGCTTCTAAATGTTGCTAGCCATGGGACGCATCACCCCATGTTGCATCTCCTTAACCCTGTCCACATTGTGTAAATTGCCCCTTGTGAACTCTCCCCACTTACCTTGTTTGAATGTGCCATCTCTTTATCACCTCATCACCATCTCCCTTGTGTTTCCATCTTTGGTGATAGGGGCATTAAAAAGGGGTAGATCAGATGAGTAAAGCAAAGCCTCAGGGCACAGATGGGCATCATCAATGCCCATCTGAAAGATCAATTGGCAACATGTTGCAGCTGCCCCTGGGAAGCACAGACCAGAGGACTACCAGCAGCTTGCAGCATGCCCTCCAGTGGCAGCAGACGGTCTTATGACATTGGCTCTGCATCCTCAAGGTTCTCTGGCACTGGCAACAGATGACATTTGCCCTACAATCTCTCCATGTTGATTCACCTCCTCTTCAAGCAGCCTCTCCACCCCCAACTTACTCCTCCCAGATTCCACATATTATTGGCAGTGGCATCATTGTTCACTCACCAGGCGAGCCTAGTTAGAATTCACCCACAGGAGAAAGCAAGTGAAGGCCGTGGGAAGCTAAAATATGGTGCACCTCTGGGCTGGCTATGAACAAGTATCCCTGGGCATGGTGGTGATGGGGATGAGGTCGTCCTGGAAAGGCAGGAGTCCAAGCACCTAACTTCCCGTAGGATCTGGTTCCCGTCTTTGAAGGGGACACAGGGGAAGAACAAGCAGCTCCCTTAAGCTCTTCTCCTGGCCAGAAGCAGTCCGCTAGATATTGCTGGCCCTATTTTCACCCCTAGCTTTGGATTCCTTTCTTCCTTGGAGGGAAAGAGGCCTTCAGGGCAGCCCCGCAGACACTACAGGAGGGATGTAAGAAAACCGGCGCGGCTGGGCATCCCAGCGGAAGGGAAGTGTCCGGCGGAGGGAGGTGAGGGATGTTGAACAAGCCTCGCCTCCCACCGCACCGGGGCCCGGGAGAAGCGGAGATGTTGGCCCTCCCAGTTTCCTAGAGAGGCCGCGGAGGGCCCGGGGCGCCAACGCGCGTGCGCGACTGCAGCCGCCGGGAGGTAGGCGCGGGACTGGCAGCTGCGCTGGCGGCGGGTGGACCGATTGTCGCTTGGCGGGAGTCGGTGAGCGGCCTGGCGGGGCGCGGGGGTGGGAGTTGGGGTGGGGGTGGCGGCATTGCGGGCGCGGGGCTCCCCGAAGGCCGCGGCACCCTCGGGCCTGCCCAGGCGGCGGGCGGGGCCCGGCCTGGAGGCTGCGCGGGTGGCTGGGGTCTGGCCGTGGATCCCGCCCCCGCCACGCTGAGGGCGTAACGGGAATCTCTTTGCCTCGCGGGCGTCCGGGCTCTGGAGCCCGTTTCTCCAGGCTTTCTCTTCTCACCCAATTAGGCAAATAAAGCATATTTATCAGAGACGATTAGATAACACGGGAAAGTAGAAGAAAAGTAAAAGTAGCCACAATCCTGAAATCTGTCTCCAGGCCTCCTGACATTTAAAATGTCTGTGCATAATTATGCACACTGACATTCATAAATATACATTTTATTATGAATTGAGAGCGTGCTGTTGCTTTTTTAAAAACTTGTATTGTGAGGAAACAATCTAGTGCAAAAATACATATAACATTTACCATACAATATGTAGACATTTACCATTTAACCATTTGGAAGTGTATAATTCAGTGAAATTAAGTACATTCGGATATACTGCTGCTTTTTAAAAATTGTAATCTCCTGAATTTGTAGAATGCATTTGTTCTTATTTTGGCTAAAATTAGTACTAGCATTATGACACCACTAAAACATTTTTTTTTGCAAGGGTAATTATGACATCATGTTTGCGGTTTATTTTCTGTAGGACACATTTACATGAAGCTCCAAATGGTGAAGTGACATTTGTGCAGAAAAATCGCAAAATCTTGTTTGTTAGGGTGATTATCTTTCACAATGAGATAACTATATAAAATGCAGTTTTAAAACAAAGGCAGGGCTCTAACCTACAGCGATTGTAGCACACTCTGACAGGCACAGGCCTAAAAGATCAGAGAATTGTCTCCTTCCGAATTTAAAAGTGGTGGCCAGGAAAGAATGTTACTCTGTTTCAAACTGTTTGCAGTGGAAAACTAAAAACTCACCATTTTGCAAGGAAGTGTCAGGGAGTGGTTTGAGCAGTGATTTGATTAAGGCGTTTCAGAGAATCTCCATGTGTTTTATATGTGTGTCTGTACATATTAAGGGACCAAGGAATTAGGCAGCTCTTTTTTATCTTAATAAAACGCAGACACATTATGGTTTAAAAAAAGTCTTACTGTAAGCCGAAAAGATGAGATATGTTTTGAAGATAAGCCTCAATGTGCACTTAAAAAGGAACTGACGAAAGCATGAAAAATGGCAAGTATTCCACCGGTAAGTTTTCTGTGGGGTATCCAGTAAGAATTAGTGCATAAGCAGTCATGAATTGAGAAAGTAAACTATAGTAAAAGGTAACACTGTATTTTGTAATTTTTGATATTTTGTATTAGAAACAATGTGAAAGAGGTATTATATTTTGTATTAGAAACAATGTGAAAAAGTACATTCCTGTGTCGTAGGTGTTCTGTAAGATTGAATTTATGAGTTTATTTTTTTCCTTCCTAATCTTAAATTTCTTTTTTCTTTTCCTTGTTTTATTTTACTGTGTAGCACCTGTCACTGTTTAGCATATCACATATCCACATACCTGTCTTCTCATAGGTGCCTCATTGCAGTGATGGAACATATAGTAGGTTGTCAATATAAGCCAAACTGACAAAAGAAGGAATCCAAATTGGTAGATAAAAATTGACAGTATTAAGTGTCCTCTTTTTTTTTTTTTTTTTTTTTTTTTTGAGATAGAGTCTCGCTCTGTCACCAGGCTGGAGTACAGTGCTGTGATCTTGTAACCAAGGGAGCGCGAAATCACCACTGAGGCAAAGACTAGGCCAAGTTGCAGGGTCTTTATTGCTGGCGGCCATGGAGGACTTGAGTCTCTCCAACCCGTGGCCCCAAAAGGAGGGTGTCAAGACCTTTTATGCCGGTAAACCACCTTCTGGGGTGGGGGTGAGGGTGAGGGGCTTTGGACATTCCAAGGGCCAGTGGACTTTGGACATTCCGATTGTTACTTAAGTGGTTCACAGAATTCAGGATAAGTGTTAGTTTACACATTGTCTGGGTAGGGTGGGAAATTACAGACCTTAGTTACATATTACAAGTCTTAGTTTTTCTTAAAATGGCGCAGGGGCCAAAATGGCGTTGGTTTGGACTGCTTGCCTGTCACATTAGGGTTACAGAGAGCAGTTTCAATGGAAAGCTGAGGTATGGTCGAGGTATGCAGTTTATGGGGGCAATTTCCATGTAACAATCTTGGCTTACTGCAATCTCCGCCTTCCGGATTCAAGTGATTCCTCTGCCTCAGCCTCCTGAGTAGCTGGGACTACAGGCATGTGCCACCATCCCCAGCTATTTTTTGTATTTTAGTAGAGATGGGGTTTTACCATGTTGGCCAGGATGGCCTCGATGTACTGACCTTGTGATCCACCCATTTCAGCCTCCCAAATTGCTGGGATTACAGGTGTGAGCCACCGTAATCTGAGCTGTAATCCCAGCTATTTGGGAGGCCGAGGCAAGAGAAATTGCTTGAACCCGGGAGGCAGAGTTTGCAGTGAGTCGTGATTGCACCATTGCACTGCAGCCTGGGCAATAAGAATGAAACTCCATCTCAAAATAAATATATATATATATATATATTTATTAAATATATTTATTAAATATATATATTTAATTATTAAATATATTTATTAAATATATATATATATATTTAATACCTAAAATGGAAATACATCAGGTAAAAATGACTGAATGACTGGAACTTCTCAATTTAAGACAAACACCCCTCTTTTTTTTTTTGAGATGGAGGCTGGAGTGAAGTGGCACAATCTTTGATCTTGGGTCACTGCAACCTCTACCCCCGCCTCCCTGTTCAAGTAGTTCTCTCACCTCAGCCTTTTGAGTAGCTGGGATTACAGGTGTGTACCACCACGAGCAGCTAATTTGTGTATTTTTAGTAGACGGGGTTTCACTATGTTGGCCAAGCTGGTATAGAACTCCTGACCTTAGGTGATACATGTGCCTCGGCCTCCCAAAGTGCTAAGGTTACAGACATGAGCTGAGCTCAGCTGACAAACTTTTTATTTTGAATAATTGTAGATTTACAAAGGATTACAAATATTTTAGAGTTCTCTTACACCTTTTACCTAGGTTGCCTAAAGTTGCTATCTTGCATTATAGTACGTTCATCGAAATTAAAAAGTTTACAGGCTGGGCGTGGTGGCTCACACCAGTAATCCCCAGCACTTTGGGAGGCCAAGGTGGGCGGATCACCCTGAGGCCAGGAGTTCGAGACCAGCCTGACCAATATGGAAAAACCCCATCTCTTAAAAAAAAAATCTACATTGGTATAGTACTGTTAATTAAACTGCAGACTTTTAAAAGTTTTTTTTTTTTTTTTTTTTTTTTTTTAAATTAATGTTCTTTTTCCATTCTAGGATCCAGTCTAGAATTCCTCATTACATTTAGTCATCATGTTTACTTGGTCTGCTTCAATCTGTGACAGTTACTTAGTCTTTCAAAACACTTTTGAAGTGTTTTATATTTGTATTTTTATGAAGTCTCTCAGTTTGGTTGCATCTCATGTTTTCTGTCAAGTCAATCAGTTGTATTATTGTATGCTTTGGGTACTTTTTTATTCTTTACGCTAGAATGCAGTGCTATTGTTATTTTATTGCTGAAATTATTCTAGCTTTGACTATTGGGAGCTGTGTCCCTTTGCCATGCCTCTATTTTTAAAAAATTTATTTATTTTTACTCTTTCCCTTTGTAATCAGTAATTATTTGGGGGAAGATAGTTTGCTACTTTGCATATGAGATACTGTTTCGCTTTGAACTTTGGTCTACTAAGTAACATTAATTGATGGATCTTGCCTGCAGTAAAATTAGCTCCAAAAATACAAGGAATGACTACTTGGTGTTAGGATTTGACTTTCTCTTTCCCTCATTCCTTCTAGGCATTCATTGGATACTTAGACACTCTTCTTCTTCATTCAAAGTATTCATTGGAATACTTTGTGAAAAAGAGCTGTCAGTTCTCCCCTGTTATTTACTCAGTTACATTGTTGTGTACTTTGGATACTTTTTTAATTCTTTGCCCTAGAGGGTAGTACTGTTGTTATTTTATTGCTGTAATTATTCTAACTTTGACTATTGGGAGCTGTGTCCCTTTGACATGCCCCTATTTTTTTTTTTTTTTT